CCTCTCACCAAGGAAGCATCTGCCCCATTCTAACACCATGTAAATTCCTTTGAACAATCAACTGCCCAATACCTGAAATGGTAAAGTGTCTCTGGAACCAGGAGCAACAATAGAAAAACAGGAGTATCATTTGTAGAAGACCATGCTCTCCCAGCAGGCATTTGACATGTCTGATCTCAACACTCACTCCTGTGTCCTCTGTTCTTTTTAATTCAGATAATGGTGGTGAACATGTTCGACAGGCCAGAGACATTGGACACCACCCACCGGCAGGCCATGGTAAGTCTCTTCTCAAGGAGTACCTCTTCTCATAAGGTTTCACCACTGCCAGGAGCCCAGAGGCTCATGAAGAACTCTCAGCCACCTTAGCTCATGTCCTACATGTACACTGGCTCCTCCCAGGGAAAATGTTGATTTTCTGATAGGCTACAGAGGTGCCACAGTTCATAACATTGGGAAGAAGACTCTATTACCAGCCATACCCTGTACTCAGCAGTTGATGAGGATCTTCAAGCAAGGGGAATTTTTCACCTAAAGGTCCAAACTGGAAAGTGATGATTTGTTACTGGCCCTTAGGAAGTGCTGATTGGTTATTTTCCTATTTACACTATACGTTTGAATGGGTAATACAGGAACTGACTACATTACTGAACTGACTGAGTCAACATTAGCCCATAGGACCACAAGATAAGGTTTTACTGGGTAGCAATAACCAGTAGCAAAGGTACGGGGAGCAGAGCAAGTCTCTTCCCAGAAGTGTGTAGGTGCATTCAGCTGTTTTCTTGTGTAAGGGTCTGACACCGTGGAGCATGGAGAGACCATAATCACATCAAACAAGTCGGGAAGTCTCTAAAGAGCTACTTGGGTAAACCCAGAGAAAACCAATGGGTTTGCCTTATTGAGATCACAAGGGCTGATGGATGTCTTGATCACAATCTTTCCAGGGTTTCTGAGATGCTTATAAAGCTCTAAAGCCTCCATGCTGTAACAGCAAATGGCTTTATAACCCAGATTTGCATTTGTCTGTGCGGTGATACGTGCTACAGGCAAATCACCACAGCACTGCAGACTGAATTCAACCTGAGCTAGGGTGCATTGTATGCTGGGTGAAGGCAATGTCTGGCTTGGTCTCATCAGGCCAAGACATTTTGGCAGTGTGTCCCCCTCAGTTTGAATCCTGTCTTGGGAAGATATGAAGCCCAACTCTTACATTGGTCATTTCAATACTTTGATTTACTCCTGTGAGCACATGGCAGGAATACAGCCCAAGAATGTGTGTGCAATAGGACATAGGCACAAAAGAAATATGAGGTGCTTTCAGTGTCTCATTGTGTGGGATTTAACAACCATCTCTGTTTCCTGCTCCCAGGTTGGCCCAAGGACTGCAGTGAGATCCCCTCTGGCAGCCGCAGCGGTGTCTACATCATTCAGCCAAAAGGGCTCCACCACCTCGTGGTGTATTGTGAAATGAATGTGACAAACGGGGGCTGGACGGTCATCCAGAGGAACCAGAAAGAAACACCTGTCACGTGGGCCGAGTCCTGGAGCACCTACAAGTACGGCTTTGGGAATGTGCGCAGCGAGTACTGGCTGGGCACCGAGTACATCCATCAAATCGCCAAGCAGAAGGTCTACCAGGTCAGGTTTGTCATCCAGGACTCCACAGACAATACCAATTTCGCAGACTACAACCTCTTCAGTGTGGAAGATGAGTCCCACGGCTACCGGCTGAGGCTGGGCTCCTACACAGGGACGGCAGGGGATGCCATGACTTCAGACAATCCCAAGACCATGCATGACAACATGAAGTTCTCCACAAAGGATCGGGATCAGGACACTTACAGTAAGAACTGTGCCTACAGCTATGAGGGTGGGTGGTGGTACTCGTCATGTTATTCTGTGCGGCTGAATTTCAAGGGTGGCATGACATGGGGCAGCCTGTGCAAAGGGAACTGCAAATCCTCCCTTATTCTCATCAAACCAGCTCCATATTGTTAGTGCTTCTTCCCCCTCCTGTCCACAGTGGACACTGCAAAGGCCTGGCCAAAGAGCTTGAGCCTTTCTGGGAGGGGAGCCCAAGGGTAGTAGGGTTTTAGTGAAATGTCACTTTCCATTTCCCCTCTCTGAGTGCAGGCTCCCCCTCTGCTCAGCTCTTTCCTCCTGTGCTTGCCAATGATTCGTTGCTATTATGTTCATAATCAAGAATAAAAAAATTACTCGTGAAATTTGTGGAAATGTGTACCTTCCCTGCGGGAGTAAGACACTCAGCCCTGCAGTGACTTTTCATCAGAGTTTCTTAGCTGCCTCCAGAACTCATAGCAAGCAAAAAAGCTACATGCCACAAATTTCCATATACTCTGTGCCTCTCTGCAGCATGTGGTAAAGCATCTCAATAAATTTGCTTCCTTGAGCTCATTCTCCATTAATGAACGTCAGTTCTGTATCTCTGATGTGCTCCCACTGAGACCCAAGAAATCCCATGTCAGGTGCTAGGACTGGAGTCTTGGGGCCAGTTACACCGAGATAAAGGACCTGCCATCTGCACAGGAGGGTTCAGAAGGGACCTCCCATGTGGGAGAACATCATCACCATGTTCACAGTCCAGGGTCAAAAGTTGTGGCATTGTCCTGGAGCCAAGGTCCCACTCTTGCTGGGAGGCTGTGTCTGTCAGGATTTGTTACTACCTGTCTGTCTGCCCAGTCATGCTTTGATCCTGCAGAAACATGATTTCAAAGTCATGAGTAGATCTGTTTGCTGCGACTAAGAAGCAGTGAACTTAAATGGAAGCAAAAGAGAAGTAGGTTAGATGCTAGGAATCACTTGAATTAGGAGACACTCTAATTAGGGAAGAGCTCATTACAGGAATGGGCTCACCATACCCAGATTCCTGAGATTGATTTAGATGAACCTTTGCCAGGAAAGGTGCAGACGGAGCTGTGAGGCTGCAGGACAAGGCCCCTACAGCTCCTCTACCGCACAACACTGTGGCACTGCCAGGACAGACTGTTTGAGAACCACTTTCAGCTCCACAGACCATTTCTGGCTTTGTCTTGGGGCAGCACAGCAACAGCAGTTAAGTTCCACTTCCAGGACTGACGGCCAAGGGAAACCACAGCCCTCACTCACAGGCTGCAGAGCCCAGTGCCCACTGGGAGCCATCCAGAAAGGTTTGAGAAATTAGAAAATACTGAAAGAAGTGAATAATGCAGAAGCCTGGAGAAGAGAAGGCTGAGGGGAGACCTTATCACTCCCTACTACTACCTGAAAGGAGGTTGCAGAGAGGTGGGGGCTGACCTCTTCTCCCTAGTGACAAGTGATAGGACGAGAGGAAATGGGTTCAAGTTACACCAGGAGAGGTTTAGATTGGATATTAGGAAAAAAATTTTCATGGAAAGGGTTATTAGACATTGGGATAGGCTGGCCAGGGAGGGGGTAGATTCGCCATCCCTGGAGGTGTTTAAAAAAAGGGTAGACATGGTATTTGGGGACATGGTTTAGAAGTGGTTTTGTCAGGTTAGGTTAATGGTTGGTCTTGATGATCTTAAAGGTCCCTTCCAACCTTAGCAATTCTATGATTCAATCTCCAAGCCAGCAATTACCTTACACTGCTCCAGAGAACTGTCCTCAGCCCTGCAGGGCACAGGAGCCGCCTGTACCTGGGGATGTCTGAGGAAGATGAGAGCTCAGGGCTACTTCTGCTGAAAGCAGTTCTTGGATGAAGCAGGCTGCAGTTGCTCTCCTGAGAGCCTCAAGCACCAAGCACTGAGTCCCCCCAAACCAGAGCACAGAGACCTGGGAGTGCAGCCCATGCCTGCCTTGCAATGGCCACCACAGCACAGGGAAGGAGGGCACAGGGCAGATGGACTTGACATTGGCTGGAAGAGGGGCCTGAGATGGTAGGAGCAGGTGGAGGATGGCTGTCAGAAGGGTGCCCCCACCTCACCCCTGGTGCTCCCAGAGTGGATTTGGCTTCCAAAGCCAGCAGGCTCAGTGACATCAGGTGGCACTGGGCAGACTGTGAAATGATGATGCTGCTGCTCCTAGGCCTCTGGGATTTCCAAGCGACAGACAAAATTTGAGTTGTATTTGCACTGCCACGATAAGGAGGAAACAATTCTTGTCCCAGCAGTGCTGTCTTCTGCTAGAGATCTCCAAAGGCAGTGGAGAGACACGGGCCAGGAGATGCAGGAGAGCATCCTAAAATATCCTCACAGTACAAGAGGGCTGGCCAGCCCAGGAGGATGGTCTCAGTGAGTGGGTGTCTCTGCATTGCTGTCTTGTTCCCCCACCACAGCATGTCCCAGTGCACGAACAGGTTCTCATCTCTCCTACAACAGCATCTCTCCACACAGCTCCTTTTACCAAGCTACCCATCCAAATGCTTCCTAAATCCTGCTCGGCTCTTGGTCACCCGGCAGCAGTGACGTCCAGCCCCCAGCAGCTCCCTAGCAGCTTCCCTTCACTCAGCTCCAGCAGCCACTGTTGGTTTGAGGTGACACCTGAAGTCAAGCAGTGGACATTAAATGCTGGCTCCTGCCAGAGATTTGCTCTGTGGAAGTGTCCTGGCCAGGACAGAGCAGTCCCCACTCCAGTGGCAGTGCACTGCTCTCCCTGCAGCTGTGGTTTTTCACTAAGGTGAAACTTCCCTGGGAACCAATTCCCCCCTCCCATGAGCTCCTGGTTTGCTTTTCCCCATCTTCTCCACCCCATCTTTTACTTAAGATTAAGAACAGGGCAAAGATACACGGAGACTTCCCAGCCTCCAGCACAGGGCTGTTCTGAAGCAGGGCTGATAGTCCTCAGGAAGGTTTCTACTCCTTGAATTTTTCTTTTAGGTCTTTGAATCCCTGCAAACGTTTAGTGACCACAGCACCCTGCAGCGAGCAGTTCCCCATCGCAAGTGGGGACCTGCCCAGAGCCGGCAGTGGTGGGGTGCCTCATCACTCTCTCTCTTCCTTCTCCTGAGCCGCTGGGTACAGCGGTGCCGCCATGTCCGCAGGATGCCCAAGCGCAGTGCCGCCGAGCACAGGATGAGGCCAGTGACAAGTGGGATGCGCGCAGCGGGGGGCAGTGCAGAACACACGCATGGAGGTGCGCAAGGCGGGGAGCAGGACACGCAGTGCGGGGAGCAGGACACACACAACGGGAGGGCATTGCCGGTTTCCGCCCCCCGCCCGCCGGGGGCGGCGCGGTGCAGAAGCGGAGCGCATTGTGTTCAGCTGCGGCTCCTTTAAGACCGGAGGCGGGGACGCGCGCGGCTCCCGGCGGCGGCGGGTCCGGTGTCGTCCCGTCCCGTCCTGTCCCGTCCTGTTCCATGTCCCGGCCGCCGGCTC